TAGGTTCTTCAATCCATCATTCCGTATCAACAAGGCTGCCTAGAAAGTTAACGTCTCTGTTTGGCACGTGAGTTTTTTAGATGTTTATCTAAAATTTTACTGTAACTTACTGTAGAAGTTTTTTAAAAAAATTTTTGAAATGTGTTTTTTTTTTAATATTTTGAAGTGTATAGTTTAAAAATTTTGAAAAGTTTTTTGAGGTTGCTGTAGCTAAATTTTTAAAAAACTTGTGTAACAGATAAACTTGGCAAAAAACTTGTCTGCCAAACAAGGCAATAATATAAGAGGTGCTTTTCACAAAGATGACAACCAATTAACTATTAAACCGTCTTTTATCGTTTGGAAAAAAAAAATTAACTATTAAACCGCAATAAAAATGGAAGAAAGCCACTAATTGGTCTACATCTCCGATTTGTTTGAAGTGCACCATATATCCAAGATTGACAAAGTGCTCTTTTCTTCTTTTTTTTTTTTTAAAAAAAAAAATTCTGAGTTAGGAATCAAATAAGCATCAAACAGGGAAAGATAGCACACTGCATTGATTCACAAAAGTACTGAGTTTTACAAAAGTGGGATAACCATCCCAAGTATCAGTCCTTCCTAGTTAGGCAAACAGGGAAATGGATTTTCCTTGCTAAGTCAGCCCTCAGATCTGTTGCAAAATTTGCTAATCTTTTGGTTATTGCCTACACAAAAACACACCAGCCACCCATTTACATTTTTTTAGATACAAAAAAAGTGAAAGAACACGAAACAAAGAAAGAACTGAGAATGAAGATATCCTTGAGCACGTTCTCCAGGACCGCACGCTTTTTAATCTTTGTTTGCAACTGCTCTATCAAGGTCTTGCGATCTGATTCCACTCTGCTGTCCCACCTCTGTTCCCTTGCTAGAGTCCAAGATGGATAAGTTTTAGTGAGTCATGCAAGGCCGCTGCCACTGTATACTGTATATCCTTTTCTTCCGCTGCCATTGAAAACCAAGCTAGCTGCTAGAGTCCAAGAGAGTTGTACTTGTAAGTTAGCTTAGCTTATGATGCCTGTGCTTTCCACGAAATCACTCGCTGTATCTTAGGTAGATGCCATGTCTAAGTGAAGATAAGATCAAAACTCAGCTCAAATTTGCAATGACAGGGCATATCACATTCAAGCGGCCCTAAAAAGTTTCAGAATTAAATGCAGGAGAGACTGCAAAAGTAGGATAAAAGATTCGTCTACAAGCATGCCATGGTCCTATCTTTCCTCATGTTCGAATGTTCGAGAGGGATTTGTCTTCCTCATAGAATATAAGACAGCACCCTGATGGACTGTAATAGCTAGGATTACTACTCTCTGTTCTTTATTTATGGAGTGAAACAGGCAAAGTCCTTAAACGTCATCAGACGGGCGAGGTCATTCCCTACCCTATTAGGATTACTCTGCGTTATTAATATGTACCCGTGTTTTGCTGCTCAGCTTCATTTTTTTCTCGTTCGACACAAATAAGAAGCCCATTTAGTTAAATTATCGGGAATGAAAGTAGGATTTTTTAGGATGATTTCACACTATATACAGAACTAGTAATCAGCAGGAAGAAAATAACACGAGATTGTGTCAATCATCATTATCAATTAATGATGAAACCCTATGATTGACAGAAAGCCATTTTCCATCACAAAATTTCTACGTTTTCCATGAATAAATTTTTCAATCATCTTTTACGTTACATATATCAAATAATACTTTTTTTTTTTTTTTTTTACAAAACCTCCAGAAAATTGCAATCGAAACCGGAAAGTACTTCAGTATTTCCTGTCAACATATAGAGACTCTGTGTAGAATGTGCTTTTGGTGTCTAACCAAAGTTGTTAATGGTTTTTGAGAAGTCAAGAATGTTGTACAAGCCCAGCCTAAGGCATTGCTGCTATGGCATATTTTCTTGCACTGTAATTGACTACAAATACGCATAACATCAGATGTTTTCAATCTGAATCAGGTGCTTCGTGATGTTTCATAGATCATGCAAACTTTGTAAGTACCAAATTCAATTGCTGAGACCAGAAAAGAAATATGTATGTATGATCCTTCCAAACGATACAGCTCTACGTAGTCAGAAGAGGCTGCTTCAGCTCGATAGATTGATGCCTGGGCCTAAAATAGTATTGCATGTTGTCCTTGTCGACGTGACGTTGTGAACAAAAGAACAAGAACGAATATTTGTTCAAGTAATCCAATAGTTGAATAGGGAGGGAGGGAGGGTATGGTTGTTCTATTCTCTCTTCATCATTGGATGATCCACTCCTTTTACAAAACTACTACTGATTTTACTAAAAACTTCAAAACTAAGTTCTTTTTTTTTTTTTTTTTTGCAGAAGGCAAACCCAATAAAATAAAACTTCAAGTATCCAAAAAGATAAAATAAATAAATAAGGTACCAAAGATAGAGAGTTACATCAACTAACAAAAATAAATGGTCTCATCTATGGTGCTCATAAGCTGTTCAGCTTATAATTATGTATGTCCAGATGGGACAGATTAGCTCTGAGATTAAACTGGACGATGAACGTACGAGTGTATTCAAATTAAAGTTGCTTTTGTTAACTTTGGTCAAAATTTGTCAAATGCTCAATTAAAGGTTCACTAATTATACAACCTGAGAAAGATTTGCCCAAAAAATTGAGGAATATATTTTTTTTGTTTGAATCATATAGAGAACTTTATTTAGTTAGTTAGTAAGTAAGAGACTGTTAACAAGAGTTAGAAACTCGAAGTAAATCCATTGCAATTTGATACTGTTGCACGTGTACAAATTTTTTTTTAAAATATAACTAGAAATAAATAAAATTTATGACAATTAAAGTGACTTATATCTCGGTCTAGTAATGGAATAAAACAAAAAAAAAAACTCGAAGTTTGGCATTTTCATACCTGACAATTTTAAACTAATTAAATCATAGGTTCTATTCTTTTTTTAGATGAAAAGATATAAGGGCAAAATTGTCAAATTTAACTTGTTAATCATTCAGTTATAAAGGTTTATCAAACAGGTTTAACATTAATATTCAGACATTTTATATTTCTTTTTAGTGTTTAAAATTCAGCAAATTAATTGTTTCAGTATTCAGATTTCAGAATTCAGAATTTAGATTCAGTTTTATCAAACGGAACCTTAGTAAATAAGAAACTGTTAACAAGAGTTAGAAACTCGAAGTAAATCCATTGCAATTTGAAACTACTGTTGCACGTGTACCAAAAAAAAAACAAATTTAAATCTAACTAGAAATAAATGAAATTTATGACAATTAAAGTGACTTATATATCCGTCTACTAATGGAATAAAATACAAAAAAAAAAAAAAAACTCGCTTGAAATAAGATAAATGCAGTAAATATAATGCCCAAACATGAATGCAGCTTTTACAATCTTGCTTGCAGTAGAGATAATATGGATTTAAAGTATCAATCGCTTGAAAAAGAAGGAAGTTTTTGCAGTTGGAGTTACTTGTTATAAAAAAAAAAAAAGAAACATATGTGTGTAATTGCGAGAGAGAATAATAGACACACAAAATATATAGTGCAGTTGGTGATTGAGTAATACTCTGCTAGTAAAACTTAGTTAGGGAATCATCAAAACTTAATATCATCTGTTGGGTAAGCATGACTTGCAAAAAAAAAAAAAAAAAATTTAAAATATCATTCCGCTTGCATGATCGATCGACTTTTATATGCTACCCAATCGACTTAGAAGCCCCACAATCTGCAACTCTCACTGTTGTAGTTATATTCAATCATAAACTATAAAGATGAATACCTGCAGGGTTGAATGAATGTTTAAGGTGGCCATCACTTTAGCTAAAAAAGACTGGAGAATGATGTGGTTTTGTTTGATGGTTTTCAAATTAAAGCTTTCTCAATCATCATTACAAAATTTGAGCTTCAAACCAGGAACACGGTCATCATCATCGCAGCAGCAGACAAGTCCAACCGTTTGGCATAACTGTTTTCCATTTTGGAAAATTTGCTACCGGCGATTGCTTCGATCACTATCACGAGTCAAGGTATGTTCACAAAATCATAAATGATGTATAAAAATTCTTACAAATCGTCCACGAACATAGCCCAGCAATGGGGTTGGCTATGGTTCAGTTTGATTACTAAAAATCTGTCACCAACAAGGTCGGTGGTACATGTTGCCAACGAAATACGACCAAAAAATTGAACTTAGCATGGATAGCTTGGCAGCAGCTGTCTGTCAGATTTGATGTTTAGTCGCTCAAAGGCCCATGTGACTACTATCAGACAGACTACAGAAAAATTTCAAGATTGTGACCACAAAGTGCTCCAGAGCTGGGGTTGCTTTCTTTTAGTCTGTCATTTTCATCAAATATGGCGACCCAAATTTGAAAAGATTAACTGAGGATTGATTTTGTCATTCTGTTTTATTCTCTCTATTGAGCTAGAAAATGGAAAGGGTGGCAAAGTTTGATTCTGCCTTCACAAGAGTAAGCTTGGCCATTGCACCCGCTTTCTTGCCTTACTTCCTTCAGTTCCCTGCCTTTTCTTCTGGTTTTAGTCAACTAGCTGACATCTTGTCCTCACAAATTACCAAATCCAAGAAATTTAAGGGCAATTTTTTGCCAAGCCTAAGAAATTTAAGGGCCATTTTAGCTAGTTGAGACATCGCCAAACACCAGCGCTATAACAACATTTTCGTCATTATCTCGAATCCTTTTCTTTTTTCCTTTTTCACTATCAAGAATTGGCTCTTGATTTTGCTCTGTTGCCCTCTGGAATGTAAATTTGGAACTATCCAGGGTAAGCGTTAATGCAGCTTCTGTACACAAAACAACCAACAACCTTACTTGGACAACCCTGATCACTAGTACATTCACCAACTTCAGTCACTTCTTGTTCCAATTTCAACATTCCATGCCTTGGCAGTGCTATAAACGGCCACCAGAATCTTTTCCCCAGTTATGAATACAAAAAAAAAAAAAAAAATACAACTACAAACACGAGGGTCTCTGAGCAGATTTTTCAATCCTAGTTTCCATTGACAGATATTTTTATTTGTTGACAAAGCCAGTAGAGCATCTTCAGTAATCAAAAACCATCAAAAAAACTGTGGTCAGAACCAATTTGATGGGACCTATTTTATGTGAGACTCAACAGACAAGAAAACATGAGGCTTTTATTTGTGTGTTTATGCGTACAACTCATCGACATTACACTCGCCCAAGAATACTTTGATGCTCCGAGGTGAACCACAACTGCCTTCAGCAATGATGGCTCTGTCGTTGGCAGCCATATGAGCAATTATCTTGAAGATCATTTCAATCTGCAGACAACAGGGACGGAGAAAACAGTCAAAGAAAATGTAAATGCAAAGATAAACCAATAACATATTAGCCTCCATGGGAAGAAACTGATGAGGGAGATAAAGGGGAGTACATCTTCTGAAGCATGACAACGGTCTGCAACTTCTTCAAGTGTTAAAGGTTCAACGGGCTCTTTACAGCTGAAAAATATTAGCCTAGTTAGTGACCAAAGTAATTCAGCGAACATAAATACAACAGTCAAATGGAAGATGTTCATTAGCCTTCACAAAACTCTGGCAATTTTATGCGTCAATGTATTATTCAGACACCATATGCCACGCCCACAAAAACCTGGTGGGATAGGGTCCTTTTTTTCTGGCAATTGTCACTTATTTTTCTACCACAATAATTCACTCAACCCTGGAACATTAGGATTTCTGCAGATCTTTGAACTCAGCTGTATTTTGTAATGTTATATTGCACATTGTTATATCAAAAAAGCCAGACCTTACGTTCCAGACACAAGATGGAAAGGATGTTTGTAGCTAACCAATTCTGCATTCTTTCCCAAAAATGTGTCCACAACAAAATTAGAGAACCTTAATCTCTGAAACTGCAAGTATAATGCTTTGGGGCTTCATCATATGAGAATGTTTAAGCGTACCTTGCTTCATTAAGTACAGCAAGGACACGCTTTTGAAGAGCTAGAACTTCTCCTGCTGCTTTTTTGCCTGCTTCGACACCTAATATTCATAGAAGAACTGTCAGTAACCACAAAAAATAAAAAAGACAGGATAAGGAGCAAACAGTGAAAGTTTGATCCCATATACAAGACTAAAGTTGGAAGAAAATCTACAGTTCAGTCAAAAGAGAATCTGAAGTTGCTTCTATTCTTTTCAAAGAAAAATATGTTACCGGGTTGATGGTAAGCATTGATGTTGACAAGTGAGGCGTATATCCCAACAGCTCTTTCATAAAGCGCTACTAAAGCCCCAACAGATCTAGGCGTCACTTCTTGAACAGTAACACTAATAGACTCCCTATCATTTGCATACAGAGCTGACCTTGTTCCCTGTAAGAGTGAGATCCAGTTTCGATTTGCATTATAACAAGAACATAAAGCATCTCAACAATTTTAAGAAGCCTCCATCAATTACTTTCCAATACAGAAAACTTATCGGCACTAATCTCATACAGCACAAAGCATGTAGAAGGGAAAGAGAACCAACATGCAACATCCCAAACAGGTAGTCACCACAGGTAACCCCTGGTTCGAGTTCCCAATCATGACCAGGGGGTCTGTCACGTAACACTTCAATGAAAGTCACAAAGAAGTTATGTACACCCTCCCTCAGCTGTTGAATGTAGCTGCAAATGAAAATATGATGGATTTATCATGACCAAGTGGAAGAAATCTTAAAAAGTCTTAAACTATAAATCACCAATGCTAGGATGAAACCTACGCGTGCTGATCTGTGCTCCCTTTGTTTCCATAGACACTGATCCCTTGATTCACCTGAGCAATCAAGAAGCAAAAAGCAACTTTCAAGGAAGAGCATGTCAAGACTTAGAACTTCCAATTTGTAGGAAACTTGACATGATGAATGAATGCACCCAAACAAAGGAAATACTTCGTGGGAAACATAATATAAAGCTCGAGCCCACCTACTTTTGACTTCATTTGCAGATTGATTTGTCTAAGGAACATAAAATTTGAGATGACAATTCCCCATATTGAGATGATTACCCATGTATCTCTCTCTTCAGAATGGTTCATAAGGTGAGTGATCAGGTGTCAAGTTTACAAGGCCTCTGGACCATGCTATACACTCATTTTCTAGCTTTTTCGTGGCAATTAATCAAAGCACCATGATCACAAGGAAATCAAAAGTTTTATATCAAACAGAAAAAGGTTAAAACTTTGTTCAGACAATATGTCCTAAGAGAAAAAACTAGCTTGGTTTTTCTTTTTTCCATTTTTTTTCCTTCTTCTTTTGTTGTTGTTGGTGGTGGTGGTGGTGGGGGATAAGGATTGCTCCCACTATGAAGTATGAGATTTATCTCAAATCTTATATACAGAAAGAGGCAAGGGAAAAGAACTCAACAGTTTTGCTAATTAAAGAGATCTCTACATTGTCTTTGAGCGAAGCAAAAAAGAGCAAGGAGATAACCAAAAAATGATGAGCCAAAGGGTAATCAAGGTAATATTTATATCCCACTAGCTAGTCTATGTATTCTAACAATATTTTACTTTTCAGCATAAATTCTTGAGTTGATGGGTGGCACAAATAAATTTTTCCTCCCTTTTGCCTTTTTTTTTTTGTTTGGTTAATGTTAAAATAGTCAAAGATCTACTCCCTTTCAAGTGACATTCATAACTTTCAAGGTCAGCCAACAGATCCCACTAGCTAGTCTATGTATTCTAACAATATTTTGATTTTCAACATAAATACTTGAGTTGATGGGTAGCACAAATTTTTTTCCCTTTTGTTGGGGGTGGGGAGCGAGCAGTTGGTGTTGGTTAATGTTAAAATAGTCAAAGATCCACTCCTTTTCAAGTGACCTTCATAACTTTCAAGGTCAGCCAACAGATCCTAAAACACAAATTTCCTCTAAACCTTAACACAGAGAAAACCACTAAAAAATAATAGGATCCAGTATATTCAAATATTTCTTTAGGCAATCAGTAAATGAACTTGAATAAGCAGCTGCATCACCAATAAAACAAGAGTCCTCTACATACAGGATACCAAACTAGTAGCTTCACACCTACCCGATTTCCATCAAGATCAAACTCTTTTCCAAGAGATTCCATGACCAGCTGCTGCAGATATCTACTAAACAATAATAGACTGTCCTTGTAAGGAAGGACAACCATGTCCTGTAGGCATTATAACACGTGGAAAACATCAGACAAGTTCATGAAAAACACAACCAACTTGAGGTCTAATGCTAACTAATGAAGCCAAAGCCAGTCAAACCTTTGACCCAATGCCATCAGTAGCCCAATACCAACACAAAGCTAGCAATGCAGCTGGGTTATTTTTTACCTATAAAACATACAGTTGTGAGCATCAAGTGTATATTAAAGAACATATACCTAGAACTCAGAATTCTAAGCTTCAATAATTTTTTGAATATGACTGTCACAGTATTAGTTTGGCAAAGAAACATGAGAAGACAACCTCATTCAGGCTTAGCAGTAGAACTTACCACAGTGGTCCTATTTGCTTCATCCATCAATGCAGCACCAGCAAGCATTTCCTTAATGTCAATTCCCTGGAGTGATAACAACAGTAATTAATTCTTTCTGAAATATAAAAGCACTACTTTGTAAAGCTGCAATATTTAAAATTAAAATGGAGAAAAAGTATAAACCTGTAGTGCAGCTGGAAGCAATCCAACAGCAGACATCTCAGAAGTTCGACCACCAACCCAGTCAAACATGGGGAATCTAGCCAACCAACCCTCAATTCTTGCAGTATTGTCAAGTAATGAATTCTCTTGAGTAATTGCAACACCCTGTAACCAAAAGTTAGAAAGCAAAGTATCATTATGTTGTGGAACAATTTTGAAGCTATACACTGCTCCATGGAATTGTTGTGCAGAAGTTATCAGATAAAAATTTCACCATGCACAAGGAAACCATTCGATCATAGCAGCAACATGCTTAGAGAATCAGCCAAGAAACTCGTAGCTGGTGCTTCATGCACATAATTGTTCTTAATTTTGGCTTTTTGCCAATGAGGTAGAGAAGTGCTCCAGGACATAAAACGAATAGAAGTAGAAACAAGAACCTGAGATCAAGACCTGTTTCGCAAACTCCAGGCCAGCTTCACGGAAAGCCTTCTGTACTTCCAGCAATCCATTTCTTGTTTCTGGAGTGCCACCACTCTTGAGTAAAATAAAGGAAAGAAAATAAATCATCTAAGTCATACAGAATATAAAACTAATCCAGAAAGCTAAAGGATGACGTCAGTGAGCACCTTTGAGATCACAATAACAAGTGTGGTTGCTAGCTCAGGACCAAGCTGCGCAATCTGGTGATCAATGCCAGCTGGATCTGTATTGTCTATGAACCTTATCTGCCAGAAGGATGAAAAAAATTGATCAGGTCCACAAAAGAGTAGAGTCGAAGATAAAGTATCATCTAGCTAGGACTTAACAAGTAAGTTCTTTAACAGGTACCACCAGGCACTTAAAGGAAGGTTTCTACAATAAAGGATCATAAGGTCCTCTACCAAAACAGGATAATTTCGTGACCAATCACCAAATACATAGAAATTTGACTGGAATCTCCTACGACATTAACAAAACTCAAACTAAATGAAGATGCTTTCCTTGTGAGAAAGAATCATTTGGAGAAGCAACAAATGTACATGTTTATAATTAGTTTATATTGATTGAATAAAACGAATGCTCAATTTACAAAAATCGCTATTAATTAGATCCACCTCCCCCCTTTCTGTCTCACACACACAGACAACAAAAAAACACCCAACAAAGATGGGCCAGGGGGAATCACTCTCAAATGTTTAAAACACATTTTATCAAATACCTTGAGTGGAGGATTATCCGGTGCCAGAGCCTCAGCAACAAATTGAGGTCCAAGAGCCGAACCACCAATTCCCACAGAAAGTATTTGTGTAAATCTTTCAGCTGGAGCAGGAGGCTTTATCTGCAGTTTAAACTTTAAACTATTAGATGAAAAAAAAAAATTTAAGTGTAGTAACATTCAACTTTGTTTGGGGATTATCATATGATCAGTATAAAAGTTACTACATACATATCTCATACCTAAAAGCCAGAATAGGATCAAAATAATCTTAATTAAAATATTTTTAGCATGAGTTACCCACATGCAGAAACACATCAAGAATTAGAAAATAAAAAGCACCATCTGTTTGAGGGATAATTTACATGTTACAATAAACTCCCAACCGTTAACTTCTGCCGTTTTCCTGAAATGCACAAGCAGTAAGGTACGTCAAATTCTCCCAACATTTAAAAGAGGGAGAAATAAAAGATCATTTTTATAAGAGTCCAGTACAACGTCAGAAATCCGAAAACTCCGGTATTGCCTCTATAGCATTAAGTTTATTTGTTACCACCGGAGTTTCTAAAGAAAGGTGTTGATGGGGTTTAAGATGCCTAACCTCTAGATATCCAGAGTTTAAACAGAATATCATACTTCTTTTATGTACTTATTTAGCACAAAATATAATAAGAATACGCACATTACAAACGAAATCAGCACATAATGTTTGCAGCTTTTGCATTCATGCCCCATCATCAGACAGGCCTTAAATGAAGGTTATGCTATTTTCTGCAATCATTTAAAAATCATAACTTTCCAAAATGAAAATGTGCAAAAAATTCACCTCAAACCCAAATCAAGATCACTGGAAAAGGAAGGAAAGATTGAGAAAAGCACGAAACTTTATAAACTGACCTTACCGCTGATGACATCATTTGCAAACTGGAAAACAGCTTCCAGAGTATTCTCAATCTGCAGCCTCAGAAAACTATTAGGTGCAAGCTTAGGGCTCCTCAACCAATAATGACCCACCATCCTCCCTTCATCAGGGTTAGCAATCGCCCCTTTTTCCAGCTCCTGCATATCCTTAAACGCCTTCTGCATTCTGGGCCCCATTTCTTCCACAAATTCATCAGTAAAAGCGACCCGACTGATGTCCAAGTACAGCCCGAGCTCCTTGTGCTGGTACATCCAGTCTACGTACCTCTTCCACAAGGCCCTCTGATCTTTCTCCAGAGAAACTGCTGATTTTGAAGATAAAGATGAGGAAGAGGACTTCGGAACGGCGTCATTATTGGAGTTCGCGATTGGCGGTTGGACTTCACGCGCCACCGCCTGGACTGAGAATCTGGTAGTTGCGGGCTTGTTTTGGAAGGAAAGATTGAATTTTTGGAATGGGGAAGGGGTTTGAGAAGGTGGGTTTTGAGTGGGTTTTGGCGGGTTGAAACAGATGCCCGAGAGTGAGGAAGCCATGATTGATTGATTGATCAAAGGTTTTGGAAGAAATAGGATGAAAACCAAAGTATGGCTCGGCGAGCTTTTAGGACATTGGAAAGAGTTGAATTTGAGAGGAGAAAAGCAGTACAGTACAATGGCAGTAGAAAGTAGTAGATTTTTCTTCTGTGTTATGTTGCCTGCTTTTTTTACGGTATTTGACCATCAAAGAGCATCAGCAATTGAAGTTTGGGGCTTTGATTGGTTGGTGCTTCTCGTGGGGCTCGTGGGCTGATTTTTTAACCTGGAGGAGGGTGACACAAACACAGCAGGCAGGCAGGATTTGAATATTTCTTGATACTCGGTCGTCACAGTTCCTTCTCACATCTCACAAAACTTCGATTTTTTTTCGGATTTTTGCCATATTTTAGGCTGGCTATGGCAGAGATATTTAAGTTATGGCTTGACAGCATGTGTGGTGCGACCTTTTCAAGGATACACAAACGGTGGAAATTTATCGACTTTTTTCAGTTTTCTTTTTTGTGAAATTCAAAATAAGGTAGGTGGATTTTTTTTTTCCTTTTTTTGTTTCTGAAGGATTTGGAGTTATTCTTAATTTTGGGTTTTGTCTTTTACGAGGAATGTCTGTGTTCTACAAGGAGTTGTGGTGGGAGTTGCCCTGGCATATATTTGATTCAAGCATATTGCGAGCATTCGCGAGCGATTTGATTCGTTTGCATTTTTACGTAAAATTATTCGAAAGGACAGAGAACAGTACTCGAAATTCTGGATGTTAAAAAACGCTTACAAGCAATAGGCTTGGCAACAGTCAAGAACATGAGGAATCTCATGCTCTTTTTTCCTTTTGTACAGCTCAAATGATGTAAAGCTTCTGAGAAGGATACTCTTTCAAGTTTGGCCCTTTGCTTTGCATTCTGGTCATACTTACCCAAAAATTTTGTGAAAAGCAGCAATTGAACAGAAAGTTGTTTAAAATTGGGCACATTGTGCAATCGTTTCATGCTAAGATGAGTGCTTTGAGACTTGTGAGTTGATTTTGTAGGGGAAAAGTGGCCAAGAAGAAAGTGAAGCACCCACTCGGTGGTTGGGCATATTATTGATGTCTGCATTGATATTTGCTACTATTTCTATTTGCGCATGGCAAAGCGATTACAAACTTCCTCCAGATAACTTGTGTGGTTAAAAAGGCATAATTGAAAGCATGCTATATACATCTCATTCCAATCTCATTGGAAAAAGATGTGAAATGAATCCTTTTTTATGGAAAGAAACTATTACTACTTTCAGTAGTTCATGTCATGAGAGACTTGCATACTATCAAATCAAGTCACATGGCTCTTTCTGACAAAAAAAAGGACACGAAGAAGTTGTCTGATGCTTACAATGAGGTGTTTGTTTGGATTGTAAATTCTTTGAGATAATTTTATGAAAAAGTACTGTAATATTTTTTTAATATGACGTATGTGAAATAAAAAAGTGATTGAAAAATGTGTTGATGATGCAAACAAATCAGTGTGTGTAAATAAGGTGTAAAAAAAGTGGATTAATTGGCAATTAAGTAGGGGTGCAAACGAGTCGAGCCGAGTCGAACTTTGGCCTTATCGAGTCGAGCCTTAACTTAATTTCATCGAACTCGAACTCGAGCTCGAACTCGACGAGCTGGTAATTTTCAAGCTCGAGCTCGAAAAAAATAAAAAATAATTATTTTATTTTTAAAAAAATAAATAAAATAATATTTTTTCTTAATAAATAATAAAATATTAAGGATATTTATGTAATTTTACTATTAAAAATAAAAATAAAAAAATATATATATATACTCACGAGCTTAATGTTTTGAGCTCGAGCTCGAATCGAGCCGCTCGATTCGTTTGCACCCTTACAATTAAGCCACAAAAATATAGATGGAATGGTAGATATCTTCCTCCGCTCGATTCGTTTGCACCCTTACAATTAAGCCACAAAAATATAGATGGAATGGTAGATATCTTCCCTCAACATGAAAGTGTACCTAACCCAAAGAATAAAAAAAGGCTTCATCGGACGATCCCAAACTAGCCCTCTGTTCAGTGTCATGGATTTATGCGAAAAGGCTTTCATCCCATTAGCAAGCAATCTCGACTGAGCCCATTCATCATAGGTTTTTCCAAAGGATTTAAAGCAGGGAAGTTGGAAATCCAGCCCAACCAACGTTGCTTTGTTTAGTCATTTTTCGCCCTTTTTTGGGATCTTTTTCTTGTCCTTTTGCCACGTGAGAGGCTTAAAATTCATACACGCAGCACTTCTGCGCACGTCTCAAATTGCCCTATCAAATTGTAGCGTATGCATATAAAAAAATCCCACAATTATCCAATAAAATGTTCAGTTGAATTGTAGAGCTTTTTTTTTTTTTTTCCCAGGTGAAGTGTAGAATTGAAAACTTTACTAGTTTGTCGTCCACTTTATTTTAAATTTTCTTTTATTCTTTTTTTTTTGGATATTCCAACAATGATATGTTATTGAAAGGGTAGAGTATGGGGAATTATTGAAGTTGAAAATGTTTGAAATCATCCAACAAAAATTCTTGGAAGTCATATTTTATTAGTAGGTCTACAGTCAATGGATTAATCTTTTCTTATACTAACAGTGTACACTGTCAGTGTTGGATAAATGATAATTATATAAAATTTAAATTTAAAATTCAATATTTGTATAGATGTGATGAATTTAACGATAATATTATATATACTATCAGTGCATACAAGATTTACTCATACTCAACAGGAGTAGTAATTTTTTTTTTTTGGACAATAAAACTTATCCAATTAACTATCTTTGGTAAATACTGCTACCAAGTAACTATCCAATTAACTATCTTTGTTAAATACTCCCTCCGTCCCACCTTTTTGGGAAACGCACTTTTTATGTACAGTAGCATTACGGGACAGGCTTATCTGACTCTTCTAAGCGTACCCTTTGCAGTTTGTGGAGTGAAACAACAAATTGGTGGGACCACTTGCCATTAAGTCACTTTGACTAAAAGGCAAATAGAGCTGTTAAACAAACCGAGCTGTTTGCTCGTTCGTGTTCGTGAAAGGCTCGTTCGAAATTTTAAACGAATCGAGTTCGAACGAATTTTTTTGTTCGATTAATAATCGAGCGAACATGAGCATGTTCGCGAGTTTTAATGAACGTTCGCGAACATGCTAAACGAACGTTTGCGAACACGAACATGTTTGCGAGTTTCAACGAACGTTCGCGAACATAGACATAATTATCATTTGACAAATTTTAGAATTAATTTTATGGCTGGACTTTTATATTTGGAGAGCAAATTTCTTTGTTTTATTTGTTGCTTTTATGTTAATGTTAGTTATATAGTTACTGAATAATAGAATTTAGTCACTTAGTGCTTTAATTATTTTTGAGAATGATTAATAATTTGCACGGCATATTTACGGCATAAAAAAATTGGATTCGAGTATTTCGAACATGTTTGCGAACGGCTCGTTTATGTTAAACGAGCCGAACTCGAACTCGAACTCGAACACGAATTTTACTTAACGAACCGAACACGAATACAGGTTTGGAGTTCGAAAATTAACGAACGAACACGAACGTTGTTCGAACTGCTTAACGAACAGAGCTCAAACATGAGATACTCGGTTCGATTCGGTTCGTTTACAGCTCTAGGCAAAGACAATCAGACGAGTATAGCTTCCGATGATGTGTTGTGGTTGGGTCCACCAGAATTATTTAGTGCAATCTTGACTTGTCAATAGAAGGGTATAACTGAAAAATAATTGTAAAAGTGATTTGACTTTTTCAAAGTGACTCAAATTTTGGGACTAGTAAAAAGTGGAAATATGACATCAACAATGGAACGGAGGGAGTACCAAGTAAGGTGCCACCATATATTTAGTCAAGTAGTAGATTTTTTTCTTCCCCTACTTTTCCACCACAAAGAGAAGTAGTACTACTAGATTTTTATTTTTATTTTTATTGTGAAACATTTGCTTGAAAAAGGTTTGTCAAATTTCTTTTCTTTCTATGGTCGGTGGAATGAGACAAATTACAGCATAGATGTTGGCAACTGGGTACAAAGAAGAATGACGATGAATTTCTCAGTTTTGTTTCACAGAAAATGAAAGACAATACTAAACGATGGCGGCTAAAGTTTCGTGAATATAATCAAATCCTAGCCCACATCAATTCCCTTTTCCTCCAAAAAAAAAAAAAAATTCCCTTTTTCTTCAAAATTGACTTGAACCGTATCAGGTAAATCCCACCACCATTGCTTTAACCTGCAGCAACGATAGACAACAGGTCATTCCTTCTTCATCACCTCCCTTCTCCTCTGCTATAGACTACTATAATAAAGAAAGTTATATATTAGTATAAACCTTTCCTCCCTTTATTATCCAAAAAGAGAACTTCTTGCCATTGGGTTAGGGGAAAAAAAGGAAGAAATGATGTGGGACGAGTGGGATAACCATAACTATTTGCAACGACAACAGCAACAGCAACAATCCAGCCCCAGCAGCAAACTGCTGAAGAAGCAGAATCGACATCATCGGAATCGAGGAGCAACAACAACGGGAGGAAAACAATCCCATCTCAATTTCGATTTTTTTGTCAGTTTTAGCTAAGCCTAAGGTTTGTTGCACGACCAACATTATTCAAAATTCCTACTTGATTTGGGTCTATTTTTAATCTTACAGAATGGTATATGTTGCAGGATTATTATAGGATATTGGAAGTTGATTATGATGCCACGGAAGAAGCTATTCGATCCAATTATATCCGTTTAGCTTTGGTTAGCACTTTTTTTTTTTTTTTGCGTTACCTTGTCATTTTCTTTTGGAAAAAATTTTCCCTTTACCAGGAACAATTTTCCCTCCAGCTAATTAAAAGAGGTCCAGCTTTCTGTTGTGATGTTTATTGTTCTTGATTTTGAGGTGGTTTTGCTTTTCATTATTGTTATTTTATTTATTTATTTTAATTTTTATGCGGACAGAAATGGCATCCGGATAAGCAAAAAGACCAGGATTGTGCTACTTCTATATTTCAGGAGATAAATGAGGCTTATCAAGGTAAAATTTTATTCTTTTTCTTATGGTTTGAATTTCTTTTATTTTAGTTTGGTTTAAATTTGACGTCTTGTGGTCTTTTTTGGTATTTGTTTCTTGTAGTGCAGATAAATTTTCAGTTTCCAGTTTTGTGTGGTTTGTTGTTTCGTTAATGCATTGTAATTTCATCAATTTAGCCCTTACAACGGCCACAATTTTGGTTGAAATACTTTACTTTGTCATTTTCTTAATTACAATTTACTAACGAGCTCGAGTGATGCTCTGTTAATTTGATTTTTTTGAGATGGAAACTTATGGCTGTTCATATGGTGCTTTCCACACATGGATATCAGTTCATTTTGGGATGACATTTTGCTAAAAGTGTTGCTTGCGAATGCAATTAATGGTTGATGCAGAGTTGGTGAGGCCAGATTCTGGCTTCCTCAAGGCGTAACTTGCATGCGAGATGATCATTTATGTTTACTAGTAGAGAAGTCAGATCGTATCTGAAAATTCCTTGCTTCATGCCAAGTTTGATTGCATTAACACTACAAGTATTCATTTTATAATGAGGTATCTTTTGGATGAAGGCTGTACGCAGGCTTGGGTATTTTGGTTTGATATGACAAAATTGGATACAATGCTCGTGGTTCTGAACATTGAACACATGAACAGAACTAAGAAATACAGTATTAGAAAAATCTATCAGTGAATCCATGGAAAGTACTACCTAATGTTTCCTCAGTGCGGAAATAATTGTTAGGCTGTTTAATATCTTTTATGCATTTAACCAAGAAACCATTCCTTTAATGCAGTAGTAACACCAAGATTGTGAAAAAGAGCAAGAGAGAGCTACATTGTTGTGGCATATGATGTCATAGCTATGAGCTGAGTGCTGTAGGAATGTGTTGAGAATTGTGGAACCTCTCGAAACTTACCTGCTGTGGAGACAATTTATCTATCTTTTTTTTTTTTTCCTGATAGTTTCAACATAGATGCAGGAAAGCATATATAAATTTCAGCTCATCCATGTGCAATTATTTTTGGAGATGTCTATGTTGATGCGTTAGTGACATGCAAATCTGACAAAATTTTGATATTTAAGGAGCTGTAGAGCAATTATGTATTTGACACAGGGCCAGAGGCTGTAATTAAAAGAAGAACACCAGGGGCCATTAATTTCTGAATTAGACAAGATCTTTCTGCTTATAGTTTGTGACTGTAATATTTTCCTGTTTGACTCCTTGACTTGGAGTTTTTTTTTTATCTGCATGAAATTTCGGATGCTGCCTCTTGGCAACCATTGAAAGTTTTGTATTGCCTGGGCTTGCTGCAAATCATGGTCCTTTTCTGTGACTGAGATGGCTAAAATTATGCATATCATGTTGTTCTTCTCCTCCTTTTTATCTCTTGAATTTTTTCTTTCTAATAGCTTTTGAATTATTGAGGAGTGGTGGCAGCATATTTCTCTCTTACAGTTTCTTAGTTGCTGAGTTTTGAGTTCTCTTTTCAAATTTAGTTTGTGCTAAGGATCATTAGTAGATGCCATGACCAGTTAATGTACTTTTGTGTTAGTTGAGAAGAATTCATCTCGATTTAGGGTTCTCTAGAGATCTATGTATTTCCAGCAGTTCACTTGACAATGATTGTGTTCGCATCTAGTCAAATCAAGATAGAGATATACTCTGAGCTTCTTCCACCTTTCCTCTCCTGCAACAAGCCAACGATGTGCACTTTTTGTTTTTTGGTGGATTTTTTATGGGTTTTCCCCTTTTTTTTTTTGGGGGGGGGGGTACTTGTCTTATGTCATGAGGAGTTGATGCAAGTGCTGTACCCTTGTGTATCTTTTTGATGATAAAAGAATGATGCACCTCAAATGATCAAGTTGAGATGACATTACTAAGAGGCCTGCGTCTCATGTATCACATAAGAGCTGCGTACCTGTTGGACTGAATGAGTTTGATTTAGCTTTTGTGGGACTATAACCTAATGTAGTGATGTAGCTGTGCTTCTGTTTGACAAGTTAAGACTTTTCAGTGAAATATCAGAAGACGAGATTAGAAAAATGCACAGAAAACATTTAGAAATTAGGCAATATATGAATAATATGTCAGGTTTAGAGTGTGTATGACCCAAATGGAAAACAGTTAGAGCATGTAAGGAACTTCATTCCTCATTTACTAGTTACAAGCATATGAGAGGAGAAAAATTAGGCAAAGTGAGGTGCAACAACTACTGCTAAAAATGTGTAATCCTACTATCAAGCTAACTGGAGAAACTGCATTGAGATGTCATCCTTGAGGAGTTGAGAAAAGGATTTTGGATATGTTATTTAAACAAGTATATCCAATAAATGAGATTTTATTATTGCTCTTGGCAATGGCGGAGTCACGGCCCGAGGGTTAGGGGTCAATCTCCAGCAGCACATGGAATGTAGCAATTATGAGTTAAAGTCAATGAAAGTCCACATAAAACAAATATTTTTTCCCTATGAAAAATATGTTGTCGAATTTAACTTGTGCTCAAATGAAGGTAACAATTATGAAATTTGTAATTATTGTTTTTGGGAAGGGGCAAATGCACTAGAAAGAGATTTTATAGATTTGGGGGCGATGCACTTAGGAAAGAGAATTCTATAGATTTTAGAAAAAAAGGAGAGGGGGGGGGATGGCAAGCAATTTTAAAAATTTCTAAACTTGCAAGCCTAAAAACAATTTTCACTAAGTTGAGGGTGGTAATTGCCCACTCTCAACAATGCGTGGCTTCTGGCCTATTTACATCAACGATGAATGTCTTTTACTCCTTCAGAAGAGGGAAAAGAGAAGTGCAACCAGAATAGCGCTGCTCTCATATTTCTCATGCATCTCTAAGCTCTACCCCATTCTGAATCTTCACTGATGATATTTATTGTAGCAGTGTTATAGATATATGATTCTATTGTCTAGCGTCAGTTATTCAGTATCTGCTTATGTAACTATGGACTTCTATCTCTGAAAAGTAAAGCTTTCTGTAATCTAGGCCAGTCTTACAATAATTTTATCATGGATGTGAGTGGTCGCTTTATGTGATACAGTTTGAGTGATCCTGTCAAACGTCAAGAATATGATCAGAAGGGAATGCTACGTGCCTATGACTACAACATAGTAGTAAGTATCTGAATTTTGTTTTTGAGGTTTTTTCTTGTTCTGATATATGTTCAATTTATTCCGTGCTTATCCTTTATTCGAAATGAATGCAGGAGTATCTTAATCGTTACAAGGGTCTGATTTTGACATGCAATGGGCTTGGCATGAAGTGTTCAATGTGGTGAAACTGAATTCAGTAATATGCATAGAGATGCATCAGGCGATCCTTTTTAATCCAGCAGGATGCCAGTGGGGCTGCTGAAGGCCTGCTGTTGGATATTGCTGCTTAAACCAACTAGGATGATTGAATATCTTTGTGCTCTTATGTACAGATTCCTTCAGAATCTTTCATGCCTTCGGTGGTTCTGGTGCAAAATTTCAGTAGCCCTGTAACTGCCAAGATATGCGGTGTATTAAATATCAATATTCTTGGCTGGCTGATTGAAAATGAAAAATGGGGCATATTTGGTCTCTCATTTTGCCAGTCTGATGATTGCCTTGTCTGAAAATATTGTTCAGAAAAATCTTATGAATTATCTTTGCCAAGAGCTGTGCTTTATTATAATCCCTCCTCCAACACCACCAACACACCACCACCCCTCCCCCTCCCCCTCCCAACCCAGCACAAAAAAGAAGAGAAGAAAAGAAGAAGGAGAAAAAAACGCGAACAAGTTTGTGCAATTATCGGGGACAGCATATATGATGGGAGTTGAGGTTGGGGAGTTGAAAAATGAATCAAATTATTTGATATTCAAATTGAATTCGGCTTGGTAACAGTCAGTTTGAGTTTGGTTCACCAACTAGTCAAGCCAACATGAACAGCGCTTTATGTTCAATAATATTCAAATTTGATTAAAAAAAGTCGTTCAAATTCGGTTCGACAAATAAACAAACTAAAATTAAACAAAATTTCAAATTCATTCTTAACTAATCGTTTACACCTCTAACCGGGTATTGAAGACTGATGGAAAGTGATTTGGTGTATTTGACGCTGTGCATTAATGACATTTCTCATTCCTGTTTGTCCTCCTATTATTCTAGTTTTATTTTCGTTCTTCTCATTTCAACACTTCGTTTATGCTGTGGACTGCAGCGAGAAGACCACAAGTAGGAGGCAAATATTCATTTTTCAAGGAGTCTCCCGTCTGGGGTGATTTTATGTCGTGATTAAACCTTTATTCAGTGGTTTTTACCATCGAGAAGAGTAGGGAATAACTTCAGCACAGAGAACTTAGCATGTCTTTCCAAAGACACAACAAACTTTTTGTTCTTTGATGGAACCATGTCCATTGTGCGTTTTTAGAATTTTGACAGGCTACCAGAGACCTTTGCCAATACCCCCTTTCGGGATTCAAATTCAAGGAATTATTCCTTCAAACTGCCCCGCAATTTCTTCTGAAAGCTGCACTTGTCCCGTTTGAATCATCAACACTCGGAAACACCTGAAGGCATTGGATTAATTAACAACTAACTTCGTTGATCACAGGATGGAAACATGACCGAAAAGAGAAATCGATCTTAGTTTTCATCTATCCATTTTGGGAAAACCTTTTCAGGGTCTTGAGAAAGCAAATAGGTGTATAGGTTAAGAGCAATAGGAAGCGTTAAAAAAACAAGCTCACTCAGTTACGAGCAAGACAAACAAAATCTTATCAACCATAGTCTGTAGCCAAATGTTATGAAGTACTACAAAAACAGCTTTCATTTTAATAACCAAGACAGCTGCAACATCTGGTTCAGAGTTGCACTATCTCCATCAAGTGGTTTGATGAATCCTAGTCCTGCATTCTTAGCCAGGGAAACTATTGCGGTTGTAATCTCGTTAGAAATTCTAAGGCCAGGAGCCCCACAAATATGGAATGACCAGCTTGAGGTTAACATATAAAATGTGGCTTGTCTATCAGAGAACCAGATGTTCTATCCTGAGAATCTCAGTCACTTCAAAAGCAAATATGGACGTCAAAAGGCAAAGAACACTGTCCAACCAGCAACTCAAACATAGTAGTAGCGTCGTTGTTGAGAAGCAAACGGCATATGCTTTTGACTTGGAAGTTGCAATGTTATACTCTTCATCACTCTCTATTCTTTCCAAAATCTGCCTCTGCCAGACATAAATAAGAATATGTTGATCCTTCAATTCCTGCAGTAAAATGAATACTTGATTCTTTCTCAAATTCTAGCAAAAGACTGATATTCTTGCATTTTTCCCCAAAGCAGTACAAGCATGGAAGTACCAGCACTTTTACCATGAAATTACCAAGATGTTATTATTATTTGAAGCTGAAGTTGCAACATCTTGGGATTCAAAAATGATACGCTGAATTCACAATGTTATGCTGGTATAGTACCCTATCTCTTCTTTTTCATTTTAACCCCCATCTGCACCATTTTTTTTGCCTCAAGACCCAGATGCACTTCAATGGCCAACCTTGCTGACTAATTCATCAAGTAATTGAAATGTAGGCAATAGTTTTCTCTCCCTGCAAAACACATCAACTAACAGAGCCCATGTATGAGGCTCTGGTTTGAAGCCCATCTCAACCAACCCAAATAATACAACAACAGCATTGGCTGCTTTTCCAGCCTCGCACAGAGAAACCAGAAACTCATTTGAGGTGGCAAAATGTGGCAGAAACCCCCTGACAAGCATCAAGCCAACAAGTTCTGTTGCCCTATCCAGTTCACTTTCCTTGCATAAGGAGTTCAACACAATCCTATAACTTGCCTTGTTTAGACTGACACCCTGATAAGGCAACCTCTCAATCAGATCGAGCCCCTCATCAAATCTGTTTCCTCGGCAAAGTCCTCCAAGTATAATATTATATGTCACTGCATCAGCTTTGGACTCAGTTCCTTTCATCTCTTTGAGTAACTCAACAGCTTCATCAACTCTATCAGCCCTACATAAACAATCTATTAAGGTTGTATAGCCAACCGTATCAGGCTTCAGCTCAGCAGCCTTCATCTCATTAAATACCTCCTTGGCATCGTCCAACCTTCCTTCCTTACAAAAACCATTCATGAGAGAGGAGTAATTAAATACATTTGGGTTGCACCCATTTTTCTTCATGAAGTCCATTATCTTCTTAGCTCTATCAGCTTTTCCTGCACGAGAGAAGCCATTTATCAAAACATTGTAAGTTAAAGCATCCGGTAATATCTGATCTTTCGAAACCATTTCCTCAAACAATTGAACAGCTTCTTCCAACCTTCCACAACTACAAAGACCATCCATAAGAGTTGAATAGGTGATCAAGTCAGGATAAGATATTTCAGCGACCTCATCTGTTTCACCACTTCAAATGCAGATTCAATGTCCCCTTCTTGCAGTGATATTTAACCAGGATGTTGAAAATGCACGAGTTGGGCTCTAAGTGGAGGTTCTTCTGAGCATCCAAGAGAAATGTCCTTGCCAGATCAATCTGGTTCTCGTCAACCAGTAAATTAAGACATGTACTGATGGCTTTCAAAGAAGGCTTTTCACGAGCAATTGGTTCAATTGCATAGAACATATGTAGTACCTTATCAGGCATAGAGGACTTTGAAAAATGCTTCATGAGATTAATGAATATGCCTCATTGAACTTGCAAGTTTCATAAGTCATTTGATGAAGCACTCTGTCAACAGCCCTGAATCTCTTGCACTGTGCAAGCTTATGGAGAATAACAGCATAAGTGGAATTGTTGTGACTAAAACCCTTCTGCTCTGCTGCCTATTAAAAATTTCTAGAGCATGTTCTGGATCTTTCTGACGTTTTATCAAGTCAACGGTAGACGCGTGTGTTATGAACTTGCTTTTTCTTGACACTCCTACAACAGTGTCTGAGGCCTCGACAGGAGAATCCAGTTTCTCGGTAGTGTTTTTGACAGATTGGAGAGGAGAGATCCATCGAATTGGAGATGATAATGACTCGGAAGTAGAGGAAAAAGAACGACCCTTTTGAACAAGTTTCATTGAATCCACAAAGTTTTAAATGTCTTGCAGAAGTTCATAGTGCTGAGAATCAAACATCCATTTGCACACCACCTGTATGAGAAATTGCTAATTAGGCGAACACAGTGCCAAAGTAGCTAATAATCAATTCTCTTTCTTATTTCCATTACTCTTATCGTTCCTCGGATTCAATTTCTTTCTCCTCAGAAATTCAAGTACCAAAAATCACCCCAACAAAAAAAAATTACAATCTAAATACTGCACAACCAGTATTTGCTTGCCACTGTTTTTCCTATTTAAATTGCAGAATTCTAGCCTATTCCAAACAACCATTATTATCTGAACAATTGCCAGAGAGGTAACATGAATTATTGATCTTAAATTATTCTTCTTTGAATCTCTTTAAGTTGCATAACTCTAGCCAATCAACAATAACTAGTACTATTATCTGAACAATTGCCAGAGGGGTAAAATAAATCATTGATCTTAAATTATTCTTCTTTCAATCTCCAGCCAGCTAATACGATGTAAACAATGAAACACCATAATTCTAAGACATAATGAACTATCAATGCCTAATTATTTATTGTTGCCAGCAAATTCATGGCCCATATCAACTGAACCATACGCCAAAACCCTATGCAGATTATTTGACACCAAATCTGATAAATTAACTTAACTTATATTCAAAAAAAAGAAGGCTACGAAGAAAACGTACCATAAAGCAGAGACATGGCTGGATGATGGAGGCCCCAAGGCGTCTGATTTTGTTTACAAGCGTAAACGACGGCGCCTGGTGGAAAGCTGGAACTGCTATGTGCTTCCAACGTAGCAACCAGAAAGGCAGCGTTTGTCAAATGCATACTATTTAGGTTTTACTGTTTATTACTGCAGAAGGTTTACAGGATTAATCTTTCCTGCACTGACAGTCAGTGAATAAACTCGTCTTCATTGACTGAATAATAACTGTGCGTAATTTGAATTTGAAATTCAACTTTTACGCACATGTCATGACTTCAACAGTGATAATGTATACACGTTCAATATATATAAGATTACTCAAATCTTTTAAGGCAAATGGAACTCATATAGCATTACTAATTAGGAAGCCTAATATGTTGGAAGCTTAGAACTTTAAAAGAATGTACATATCAATTTTGAAGAAGAAATATTTTTACTATTGCAGATATTGATAATGTACATATAAGATATTTAATTTTGTTCCAACGTGTTATTGAGTTTATTGTGAACTATAAATTTTATTAAATCGTCTAGTTGTTTAAACTCATCAAAGCTGAATTAGACAATAAAAAAAGTCAAATTTAATCTATTTATTTGTATATTATAGAACACAACACAACATTAAGTCTTGTTTGACTGTTATTGTCAGTGTTAGGATAATTATTTGCTTAACCAAATTTTGTATTAAAAAACTTACTAGTAATAAATTAGTATTATAAAAAGAATTGAAAAACTTATATTACGTGAAAACAAACACGCCCTAAACAGCCGCCACCCGGCAGCCATCCTATTTCCACGTTGTCAACACATGATAAATATCCAAATATTCACCGCAGACTCGGAATACACTGCACATTAATTTCCGCACTTTCTCTCACTACCCCACACACTTCCTTGCTCTAATTCTCTCTCTAACTGGAAATGGCCACCTACTCGCCGCCGGCGTCCCGGACAACCTCACGCGAGAGCAGTACGTCTACATGGCGAAGCTAGCGGAGCAAGCTGAACGCTACGAGGAGATGGTACAGTTCATGGACAAGCTAGTTCTCAGCGCCACCCCTAGCGCCGAACTCACGGTGGAGGAGCGCAACCTGCTGTCGTGCGTACAAGAACGTGATCGGCTCCCTCCGCGCCGCGTGGAGGATCGTTTCGTCGATTGAGCAGAAGGAAGAATCCAGGAAGAACGAAGACCACGTTGTTTTGGTCAAGGAGTACAGATCTAAGGTTGAGAATGAGCTGAGTCAAATTTGTGCCGGGATTTTGAAGCTTCTGGACTCAAATCTGGTGCCTTCCGCTTCCTCTAGTGAGTTAAGGTGTTTTACTTGAAGATGAAGGGGGTTATCATCCTACTTGGCCGAGTTTAAGGTTGAGATGAGCGTAAGGAGGCTGCTGATGATACTATGAATGCTTACAAGGCTGCTCAGGTATACTTGAACGTTTGTACATTCTTTTTTTCGTATACAGTTGTATTAATTCTCAAGTGGTAAGTAATTTTAGAGTTTGACTGAAATTCGATATATTTCTGGCTATGACTACTTAGTTTAATCTTTGCAATCATCTTTAGGATTTTGAGCTCAGATTTGCAGACAGTTTGATATTAAGGCACTATGTCGATCTATATGCACGGTACATGTATCACTTCTAATTTTGTCCTTTAGCTATTTGGAGAGTTAGCTGTTGGCTTTGTTACTAAGGTTCTGTGCTGGAATTACTGGCTGCGACTATGTACTTTTAGTGCCTGATAAATTTAGTAGTGATACAAGGTTGTTGAGTCCCTTCATTACAGTACGTTGAGGTGGAATATTGTTGGATTTCCCATTTCAAAATGTATATTGCATTTTGGAGAGCTCTATTTGAGTCGTTTAAAATAAGAGTTTGAGCAAGTAGCTTGGTAATTTGTGGTTGTGTTTGCGATGTTAGAATAGCCCATGGATGCTTATGACGCCGTTGGCTTTTTGCATGCTTTACCATGTATATCCAGTTACTCTTCTAGAAGAGACTGATTTTGGCTGTTGAGTCGGTTAGTTAGCCCAGGTTATTTTAAAGAGATAAAAAGCAAATGGAAAAGAATTTTAGAACTGCCAAGGAAAGTGTATAGGACAAGTTGTTGGGTAGTCAAATAGGCTAGGGAATTCACCAGGATATTTCTCAATACAAGTATAGCTACTGTTTCGTTTTTTCTTGTATGCTTTGATTTTCTCCTTTGTGAGCATATGGAAAATACATGCAGAAGTCATTGTCTGTGTTGGTACTGATTAACCATTTCCAAGAGGAGTGCTGGACTCACTTTTAATTTGAGTGCTTTCCATGTCTAGCAGTCTCTTACATCATGCATTCTTCTAAGTGAGGATACTTGTTCTTCTTTTGAAGTTTTAAATGGAATACAGTTTGTAAATATTGAAGTTGTAATGAATGCAGTAAATGGTTATTTTTGTGATATCTATTATATATATATATATATATTGTGTAAGAGGTATGCATTTGGAATGGTGGCTAATAGACTGTGGATTTTTGTATTAAAGAACTACTTTGTGATGTGTTAAATATTTGGTTTGACAACAATGAGTGCTGTAGTTTGAATGACAAGATGAAAGCTTGCTTGAGTAGCGTACCTGTCGTTTATTGAATGGCTGCATTTTGAGTGCTGTGATGAGGGTGCTGTTTCAATTCTGTAACATGTTATTCTTTCTCTTGCATTTGAAGGAAATTGCACTGGCAGATCTTCCCCACTCATCCTATTAGGCTGGGGCTAGCACTCAATTTCTCAGTGTTCTACTATGAAATTCTTAACTCATCAGACAAAGCTTGTAGTATGGCGAAACAGGTAATCTCCTGCATCTTCTTCCTGGAAAAAGTATATTTGATTGACACGTGCTTCCCATGTATCACTTGTGTCCAGTTGTAATCTGCAACTGCATGGTATGTGAATTTTGATTTCATGTACATGACTGGTTAGAAGCTAGATTGACGATGTCTTCTGAAAAGATGCTAAATATCGATGAACTTGGTTATTGGAATTGCTCGTGATAGATTTAAATGCTTTTCTGGTTTGCGCTGCAATTGCCATTTGTACTGCTATTTGATCAGATATGAGGTATGTTTTGTTGGTTTTGATTGATTCTTTTGATGTTGTGAGTATTCTTGATTAAATATGGATACACAAAGGGAAAAAGGAAAATAGCTTTTGAAGAAACAACCTTTCTAGATCTAGATGAGTGGACATGCTTCCACTTAAGCATGTGTAGACTGCAAATTGCAAGGTCCAGTGTCTAGAAGTCCCTAAAGTTTAGGAAGGAGAGTATAATAAGTAATGGTTTTTGACCGAACTTCCTTTAAGGAAAACCTTTTTGGCTAATTGGGTGAGGCATTGGATTAAAATTCCTTTGGAATTTTTGCTGCATGTTATACCATGTTGTACATTTTCCATTTATAAAACGGAGCTGCCTGCATGATTAGTGATCTTTTTTAAGTTTGGTAGAATTTATTAATCCGGTCCTTCTACATGCTCCTGTAAAGGCATTTGAGGAAGCCATAGCTGAGCTGGACACGTTGGGTGAAGAATCTTACAAGGACAGCACCCTGATCATGCAACTACTGAGGGATAACCTAACTCTCTGGACGTCAGATGCTCAGGTATTGTACGAGTATCGCTGTAGGTTCCCCATTGCATGGGCCAGAGTGAATAATTGATCACCTTTGTATCCTCTTTGTAAAAATGGTACTTACATGTGTGCTGGTCTTCATGCAGGATCAGTTGGATGAGCCCTGATCTTTATGCAACAGTTCGTCAACCTCCCCTCAAGGAGGTGGGCTTCAAGTGTCATTTGTTTGTGCTGACTAATGGAGTGTTGTCTAAGAAGCAGGGTGTCAAGCTATGACATGATATCTTTTAATTCAGACCAATCCTAGTTGATTATAGAATGATTTGTGATGGAACTAATGCCAGTGATAGTTGCCAATACTGCTGCTGTCTTTAAATTTTTTGGGGTCAGTCTTGGCTCTTGCATGTCTTCCTTTGGCTTCTACGGTTTTGCTATACAAATATCATCAGGTGGTTGATGGAACTGAATGAACACGACTAAAGTAGTCTGCAGTTTGATGAACTGAATGAACTGCTGCAATTAGGTTGAGCTTGGCATCCAGATTTAACATATCATCATCCTGGATCTTTTGTTTATCAGTTAACACGTAGTGATCAAGAGCCACCCGGCATTTGCTTTCCTATCCCATGGATGCACGCTTGCCATTTGTTTTGGATGACTTCCCTTGATGCCCATAGTTGGATGACTTTCTCGTCTTCCTTTGGTTCATATTCTTTTCTCCATGTTTAATCATTTTCATGTCTATGTCTAGTAAATGAATTTGTTTCAAAGTAACCTGATTGTTTCTCTACGTGACTTCCGGTTTTTTTTCCTTTTCCCATCTGGATTGGGGTTGGGCGGCGGTTATGTGGTTTTTTTTCGTTTTCTTTTTCTTTTTTTTTTGGTTTTTTGTTGTTTGGAGGAGGATTTTTTGGTTTTTGGGTTAAACTATATCTGTGAAATTCAAATCAAAGTAATTCCAGTCCTATTGAAAGCAATAGTTGCTAATCTCAGCATTATAATTGGGGAAGTAGGGCTGGGCTGCTAGTTTCGGGAAAGCGTTGCCAGAATCCAGTAGTTAAATCACTCACCCTCGAAGCAGAAAACCACAGCTACATTGCTAATTTACTTGTAAGTTTTATCAGAATAAATCTACTTTCTAGTGCTAAAACAGCAGAGAGAGAGAGAATATTGGCTGCTGCTCGTGTCATGTTTTTTTTTATCCTTCCCTTTTTCCTGGAGTTGAAAAACAGGTCATGGATGCGTCAAACGTACAGTGGTTCAGGCAAACAATATCCAATCCAATCTATTAGTAAAGGCAACATAAACATCCACTGCTCATGCGACAGTATGCACAAAGTGCTATATATACAACCAAAAGGGAATTTATTTATTCCAAGAAACGATGCATATTCCTGTATATAGTCTTGGCTTTACCAGTTCAGTCCCTTGTGCTATTCTTTATCCATTCAAGATATTGGAGGTTGCCACCGGTTATGGCAAGGCGATCACTTCTGGCAACCTACCAGAACACATGCAGACAAAGAACAGAAGCTAAAATAAAATTTAAAAAATCCCAGTTCTTATGAAGCCATAAACTTGCTTGCATGTTGCCATCTCAATGATAGTATATACTGTTAAAACTAGAATAGCCTTTACTTTTACCGCATTTGGTAACAACACACACGTCTTGCAGCATATCAGTAACTACAAGTTCTTGATCAATTAAACTATTTAAGTGTCATTGCATGTTAAAATATACAAAAAATTTGAAGAAGCAACTCTTACTCGTATTCGTGATTCGCCTTGACATGCTGTGTCAGAGCATCCAAAAGTGACTCCCTAGTCTTAATTATTAGCAACTCTTCAGGATCTGTCTGCACCTGCAATCAACAGTACAAAGGGCAAAACTTGAAAGAAAATCTCTTCACATATATTAAGAACCAAAAAGATTTTCGATAGCTGAAACTTATGTATCAATGTTTATCATTTTTTTAAAGTATTTGACAATTAGAGATCTTACCTCCCTTTCCACTCATAAACAGACTCTATTCCTGCAAACACAGAGAAATGATATTTAGGGGCAGGAACTTTTGAAGAGTTAATTCACTATTTATGTTGAGGAGTTAATTGAAGTGCTCAATTTATTTCACTCAGGCATCAGGTGCAATTTACTTTCATATTTTGGTAGCCAAGGAGGCCATTCCCTTAATTTCAGACTCCATCTGTGACATGCTTTGCCCCAGATTATCATTGATATGCCAATGCCACTAAATAACGTACGAATGACATATTAGAAATATGGGGGAGGGAGGGAACGGTCAGAAATATTAAAGTAGTGTTGTAGAAGAGATTTAAATTATAAGTTTGCTTCTTTGGTGGTGGGAGATGTAAGTTGATTTGCAAGAGGTTCCTGCAGGATTGGAGAAGTGCAGAGTTGCTCATGAATTGCGAGACTTCTTCACAGCTAGAGAAGGCAAAAAGGTTTTGCAAGATAGGAGAAAAGTGTTTATAGAATATATATGTTTTTTTTTTGTTTTAAAAAAGGTCATCCAGTTAAGATTGGATTTTTCTATTTGTTTCTCTGGTTTGTTTTCTATAGGACCAAACAAAAAGGGGAAGAAAAAAAAACGAATATGAGAGAGATTTGGGGAAAAGAAAATTGGGCTTGCCAAATATTTATTGCTATCTTCGAATCATTGTTCATTAAATGCCTTGTAAATTAATACTAGTGTTTATTTGGTGCCTTGAAGTATGGAAGTGGTAGACAGTTTACTTCTTTTTTTTTTTTAAAAAACGATAACGGTTGTATAACCTAATCTATCCTATATTGAGGGAGGGGACGGACTTAAAGAGATACATGAATAACTCGAAGGGGATTGAACCACCGTCGAACCATCCCGCCAAACTTTAATGCTTTGGGCTGCTGGTTGTAGACAGTTTACCTTCTGAGTGAAAGAAATTGTAACATTATTTATGGATGGCCCTTTTTAAGATGGATGGATATGTTAAGTGCATATTACATAGTACTTACTAGTTTGCTATGCAGAAAAATCCTAAATTTTAGTTTTGATCTTTTTAATAATAATCTTGGCTTAGGTGGCACATGTAAACACCGGTTGTTTTGACTGTGTGTCTGGTTGGACTGGTGGGCCATGCTGCTGCTGCTCTCTCTCACTAGTTACTAGTTACTAGTTACTTATAGCATGCGGGACCTTTGGTTTTGGAAACTCGATGCCCAAATTTCTTGACTGATATTGACAGCCCATCATAAAGATAATGATAATGAGCCAATAAACTTGTTTAGCACTTAATCACATCCCTTTGTCTTTTCAACCATAAAACTTCTGAACCCCCTGATTTTCCCTTTCGGTTTTGTCATGCTTTTGTTTGTCTTGGTGCGCTTCTAGGTGGGGAAAGAAGTATAAAAATTCTAGTGTACACATTATTACGATTGATTGGATGTACGACGACACGTATGCAAATTTTGGATTTTAAATTTAAATTTGAATTATGTGTCATGTATCAAATGGTAAAAGTGTATAGAAGATTAATTCAAAAAGAAATCCAAATATTAGGCTAGGCAAAGTGTTTATAGAATCCATAGGCTTAGCTTCTAGTATTTCCAAGAAATTAATAAATACCAGTGTACAATTTTATTTTATTTTTACACAGAGTAGGTTTAAATCATGTTGTATAATAGTATAAATTTAAATTTAAGATTCAAATCATACAAGTGTGACGTAAATTCATAATTGTTAGTATAAAAAAAAAAATCACTACGTTGTTGTTAGTGTATAAAAAGTTAATTCGAAAAGCTATGGAGAAATGAAATGTATGGATAACTTATCTCCCTTCATGACGCAGCCTTTGTGCAGATTCGAATCCTCAGTTAAACGTGATACTCCATTGGGATGGGAATTTCCGAAAGAGACCACCAGAGTCGTGGCATCCACATGTATCATTTGTCTTGATTCATTTTCTAAGTCTAGATTCTGTCTTTTATTTCTTCCCTAGCTAAAATTTGTGATTAGTTCGTTTGTATATCTATTGAGATAGAAGGCCATACAAAAGGTTCAATTTCAGAAAGAGAAAAAAAAACTTTATTTGGATTGCCATTTTTCTTTAAATAATTTTTACGTTTGTCGTGAATACATTTTTCAATCATTTTTTTTACCTCACATATATCAAAATCGCTATAGTATATTTTTCTACAGAAAAATTACTCCAGAACACAACAATCCAAACGGGTTTTATTTCTCGAGCATCCAAGTTTGGAAAAATCTTTAGCCTCCTTAGCAATGATGCAAAACGCTTACATGCTAACATACTAACTAAAACCAAAAATGCAAATGATGTGAAATAAATTTTCACATTTAACAAACACAGTAAACTGTAAATTCAGAAAGCACATTTATGCGTTGGATTGGAATGAATGAGAACAAATTTCACAAGCAGATTTTTTTAAAAAAAAAAATTTTTAATGTCAACTACTCATTTGGATCAAAATGTGATCTAGTTCTCTTGTTTAACATGATATTTATAAGTTTTAAATTAATCAGCATCTAAGTATGGTGTGTCTCAAGATTATTTATGCATCACAAATATGAAACTAATATTCAAGTGGCCAAGCGCTACTGATCCATGTACAAATCAATATGTATACTCCTACTGCTCCTGCTCCTACTACTGGAAGAAGAGATGCAAGACAAGGACTTTGGGACCTTGGGACCTTGGAGATATAAAACAATAATGATGCTCATAAATTCAATAATCAGATTGTGTCAGTTTGTGCAAGTACAACCTACAGTACCTGTTTAGTTTTCAGTTTATTATATCTGCCTTTTCTTGGATCTTTCAATTCATTTGAGCGCAAAATGAGCTTTGAGTTCATCAGAAAGAAAAGGCCTTGCCAACTAATTACTGGTTCTGAGTTGAATAAGATGAAATGACAGCAATAAAATTATCATCGTAGTTGATGTGTTCAATCAGTAGTGATCGATTAGACCTCAACCTAAAGTGTGTTGGGTTACATGGAGGACAAGAAATTGATTTATCGACCTTTGCTTTTCCATCAGATGATATGTGCAACTCTTCTGTGTTTATTTTGCACACCAGAAAACGTACTAGGAGTTAAATGCTCCCCAAAATGTTGCAGAAAGGCAAATACCCATGCATTGATATTGAAATGCTTTCATAAATGCAAGAGTATTTTAAAACTTGTACGATGTGGAACATACTAAGCAAACATAAAAGGTCTCTTGCATCAAAGCTCTGAATGATGGCGAATGTTCAAAGGTTACATTTATTTGGTCACGAAATTTGAGTGCTCTGAGAATTGAGAGACCAGCTGTTGTGTTTTTCAGTGTCCTTTATAGTATTTTCGTTTGAATACACGGGACCCTAGGTCTTAAGTAAAATAAGGAGGAGCAAGGTAGATGATAAATAAACAAAGCTAGTGGCTGGTCATAAGTCATAGCTGAGATGGCTTCGCCGGTTTCCATATTTTTTTTTTGGTTGAAGGCTTGAAGTTTGGGGTTAGAATTGACAGTAGAAACATCGATACATCACAAAGCATTTAATGTTGAATATCGTGCACCATGTCCCATTAAGGACAGAGGCAGAAAGTTATACTAGTAGTATTGCCAAGCTTACAATTTCCAATAGACTTACCAAAGAATCTTCTTTTTTTTTTTTTTTTGGTTTCATTGTGTGAGTGTATGTGTATGAATGAACTTTATGATCTTTGGAAAGCAAAATTCAACATTATCAAATAAAATTAAATCGTACCCTTTGTTTCATAAAGAATATAGAAAAACATCGAACTATTGGTTAATCACGGATAGCACATATTAGCATCTTTAAAAAAATATGATTGTAAACGAGTCAAATTGCTCGTGAGTCGGTTCAATCAAATCTTGACTTGAATTCGGTCAACATCGAACTCAAATCGAGATTGAGACAATCAAGTCGAGGCCGAGTATAGAAAAACTTAACTCGTTAACTCGCAAGCGGCTTAATTATATACACACACACACATACACACAAACACACACTCACACTTTTTGTTATTTTAACAGTGTAATTACAGATATATCACCGATATTTTGTTATTTGTTAAGCAAAAATTACTAATTTATTTATTTTTAAAAAAACCAAATAATTATTTTTTATTTTTTTAAGTTCAAAGAGACTCGAACTCGACTCGACTCAAATTTGAGATCAATATTGAACTCAAACTTTACATTGAGAACTCGTCGAACTCAAACTCAAATTTGATAAAATTGAGTCAAGACTCAACTTGATAAGCCAAATCTCAATTCAACTCAGATTCATTTGCAGTCCCATAAGAAAATTTTACTATAATCAATCAAACCATTTTATTGAGTAGGCATATTAGCTCACATTATACGTTTTCCTTTTTTTAAGAAAAATGTTTTATATATTGAATTTGGGAAATTTTATATTACTATTTAGTATTTTAGAAGCACACTTAAGCAAAAAGGAACAAAGCTCCTTGGGGTTTTGCTTAGTTTCTTTATATCTAGTCATGATTTTTTATTCAAGAATGTTATGAAACAATTAAAAGTATGGATGTCCCTTTGTATTCCCAAGAGGATTAGTTCATGATTTATGATTATATTATGTATAGAAGTTACAATTCATAAATCTATTCATGTAGTGGAGAAACCGTTTCATAGGTTTTTTCATATTATTGTAATAGTGGATGTTTAATAGGATTTATGTACCTTTAATCTTGTAGTGCCTATATATGGAGGTACATTGAAACCCTTTGAGAGGACTTTTGTATCTTGTTAAAATATAAGCATATCATTCTCCTTTTCTCTACTCCTTCTTCAATTCCTATTGTAGTATTTCATTTTATTAGTTTTATAACACGTTATCAGCACGAGTCTCTACTTTTGAGAAAAAGGTGAAAACGGAGCCTCTACCTTGAGTAAAAGTGAAACACGAGATTCTGCCCGTATTTTTTCGGCAACTTCTGTCTACTTATTGAGGTAAA